AGACAGTTGGGTCAGAACTCTGAGTCATGCAATTATTAAAGATGAGCAGAGGACAAATAATCAGTGTCTTATTAAAAGATATAGACAARAAGTTGTAAATATAGAAAACAATTAGGAAAGAGCTGTCATAGAAATACTAGAATTGCATTCAGCTACAATTTGCAGAAAATGCATAGTGTAACAAAAAAAAATGGAGATTTTTTTACATTACAAAAAATCTATGGGGCTGGGGATGTGGCTCAAGCGGTAGCGTGCTCACCTGGCATGCGTGCAGCCCAGGTTCGATCCTCAKCACCACATACAAACAAAGATGTTGTGTCCACCAAAAACTAAAAAATAAATATTAAAAAAATTCTCTCTCTCTCTTAAAAAAAATTAAATCTAGAGAGACCATTGTTGGTTTTGGACAAGTGGTATAATTTGGCTTTGGGTCCTAGGCCTCTTCTAACTCGTTGCTATTGATTCAGTTTATGTATTTTAGAATTTTGTGGTTCCTTCACATTTAAGCATAACATTAAGTACAGGGAAAAAMCCTTCTCTACATGAAGGTGTATCCTTTCATTTAAGAAGAAAAGTCCTCTAGAKAAGACATTGGTTTAAATCTCATTGAACAGTACTGAATCACAGGCACCATCTTGAACAAACTTAAGGCTGAAATGAATAGAATTAAAACAATAAATTTAGAAAAATAATTCATCTTGTTCTGGRGTAGAGGTATTTTGCCTAAAATTGATAGATTTTAACTTACTACCTGAAAAAAAAAATGGAATTTCTGTTAGTAAGGAGTAGAAGGAAAATGACTTTATAGAAGTCAAGAAGCCAAAGATAGGAAAAGTCACAGCAATAAGGCCATAACAAAAGTAACAAATCCTGTAGGAATATCAAGAAAAATAAGATTGAAAAATCATAATATATAGAATATTAAGCATTAGAATTTCTCTCTAAAAAAAATCTATATAAACAAAGTGTTACAGTTGAATGAAGGAAAAGTAAAGATAACTTTCCCAATAAAAGTAAAAGAGAAAAGGAAGACTTGGAAGGGGACTTGGAATTTTTAAGACTAATTTTTAGAAGAAGTTCACTACATTAACAGTTTAAGGAAAGTAAAAATCAAATAAAGTTTAATTGAATGATATTTGGGAAAGATGCATAATACATACTTGAGGGTGCTGGCCATAAAGAGCAGAGTACTATGGTTAGGTAYGAGATTACTTTCTACTGAGGTCTGGATTCAAATCATGGTTGACATTTTATCCTATGAAACTCAGTTTCTTTATTTATTAAATGAGTCTAATAAAACAGTAGAGGGAAATTTGTGTATTAAGTCTGGTAATGTGCCAAGCCTAGACTCTTGCATGAAAAACCATTCAATAAACACTATCTATTAAAATTAGCACTCCTTGCTGGCATGATGTTGCACGCCTGTAATCCCAGTGCCTCCGGAGGCTGAGACACCAGAATAATGAGTTCAAAGCCAGCCTCAGGAAAAGGCAAGAAAGGGTCAGTGAGACCCTGTCTCTAAATAAAATACAAAAATGGGCTGTGGATGTGGCTCACTGGGCAAGTGCCCCTGAGTTCAATCCCCAGTACCAAAAAAAAAAAAAAAAAAGGCACTCCTTAATTTTCACATTTTACATTCTAACTGGCATTCCATCTTTGTAGGCAACAAAGTATTGAGTATGTAAGTCCTAGTATTCATTATGATGAGTCATGAGTTAAATATTATGAATATTTAACTTAACAGGCCCCCATGGTAAGTTATTCAAATAAAAATAAGACACACACAAAAGCAAAACAGGGTGAAATGTATTAAACAGTTTGGCCTGAAAACACTAGAGAGTAAAGTAAGAAATTCAGCTAAGGATAATTTGTGAGTGCTACAAACCATTAACATAAAAATATCTGAAATTATTGTCACCTGAGATTATGAGAACACCTAGAAAGTGAAGGTGGTTAGGGAACAATGTGTAGAAATCCTTAAAAAAAAAAAAAACAGACAAAAAGTCTGCTCATGGGATAAAAAGGAGAATAAACAACAACAACAACAACAAAAAAAAAACAGACAAAAAGTCTGCTCATGGGATAAAAAGGAGAATAACCCATTTGCCCCATTTGCATTCATCTTATATACATCATGCTCTTTCTCTTTTTATGTGGCCTATTATAATTTTTCTATTTCCTTCTGTTGTTATCAGGTTCAGTGATTTCTAACTCTCATGTTTGTAACCCATAGAAATAAATTAGCAGGACTAATGATGAGTACACATTTCGCCACTGATTCTGACTCTTCCCTAGTTTTTATCCACAGATGTTTAAAACCAGCTCTTCTGCCCAAGTTAATGGAAGGACTGAATGCCTCTATCGTTTCCAAGCTTGTGCTGCTGGGACTCTCTGGTTCTTGGGAAACTAAAGCTATTCTCACAGTGATGTTCTCCTTGCTCTACTTAGGGATCATCCTGGGAAATCTCTTCATTGTCTTCTTGGTGATTGCTGATTCTCACTTACATTCTCCTATGTACTTCCTGCTGGCCAACTTGTCCCTCATTGATGTGGGACTTTCCTCCACCACAGTTCCTAAAATGATCTTAGATCTTTTGAATGAATACAAAACAATTTCTTTCCAAAGCTGTATGGCACAGATATGCTTCATCCACATTATAGGAGGAGTGGAGATGGTGCTGCTCATAGCCATGGCATTTGACAGGTATGCAGCCATCTGTAAGCCTCTTCACTACTTGAACATTATGAGCCCTAAAAGATGTATTTTATTTGTARTCATTGGCTGGGTAACAGGAGTGATCCACTCTATGTCTCAGTTTTCTTTTGTTATGAACTTGCCTTTTTGTGGTCCTAATACAATAGACAGCTTTTACTGTGACTTCCCCAGGGTCATACAGCTTGCATGCTCAGATGCAGACAAGTTTGAGTTTGTCATTGCTGCCAACAGTGGATTCATGAGCCTGATCACCTTCTTCCTGCTTYTCCTTTCCTATGCCTTCATTTTGGTCACTGTCTGGAAACGTTCCTCTGGGGACTTGTCCAAAGCTCTTGTCACTTTATCAGCTCACATCACTGTGGTGGTTCTGTTTTTCACTCCATGTATGTTTCTCTAYGTGTGGCCTTTCCCCACATCCTCAGTTGACAAGTACCTGTTCATTGCTGACTTTGCTCTCACCCCTGTCTTGAATCCTATCATTTATACACTAAGGAACAAAGAAATTCAGATAGCCRTAAAAAGATTAAGCAAGCAGAAAAATTATGTCAGATTCTGCTGACCTGAACTGTTTTGTAATTCTAGACATATTCATTGGCCTGCCTCTTGGACATCTTTATTTAAACATATGACGTTCAACCCACTTTCCAGGTCAGACTAGGCATGGCACCTACTACCTCACTGAACAAATTTCTATTACTTCTACAAAGCACTTATTGTTTTTAGTACTGTGGGAAATATGTATATATCAAGATATGTGCTATTCTAAAAGATAGCAGCATTATTCATAAATAATACTTTATGGTTTCTATCATAATCTCTTTGACATAAGAAAGAATATCTTTTGTTTCCAATAAACATTGCAAAYAAAATGCACACTTTTCTGGTTAATGTCAGGAGTCATCAAATCAAAGTGTTATTTATGTAAGATTAGTGAATCTACTTAGCTACTTAAATCAGATTCCCTCCCAACCAGACCTAAGACATAAATTGATAGGAGATGGTTTATGTGTAAGCTGATTTTTTGAAGCATCAGTAAGAAAATGAGGAAGTAATCATAGAAGTGAAGGATTCTTATGTTGATAAATTCAACTAGGATGCATGCCCATTATGGCCCTCCAAGTGACCCTGCCAATCCTGAAACTTAAAATTGTTTCTCTTGAATGGCAAGATGTATGGAATATTTTTTTTTTCATTTTAAAGAGTGCAGTAATTCTTTGGCATGTCCAGATTGTCCCGCTCTGTGCATGTCAGGAAGTCAGAGACAAACTGGCAGGTAGACTTTAGGTGCTAGCAATAAGCAACCATCTTCTTGCAAGGAAATAATAGATGCGAAGATTTTTTCACCTGCAAAGACACTTAGGTCCAACTTAATTTCACTTTATCCTATCACAATTCCTCAAACACTCACACACTTTCATGCATGCACACAAAGACCTAGAACTTGAAGGTGATAGAATAATCTACAGCCGGATTTTCAATCCTAACTGATAGTCATTACCTTCTCTATTTCACTAGATAAATTGTCCTCATCATTAGGCAGTTCTCTACTGATCTGRGTTGCTTGATAAACGAGGTATCCCACTTCATTTATGAGAAGCACAAGTCCCTGGTTTAAACACCCTTGCTAGTCTGTTGTTGGTAAAATTGCTCTTTCACAGATCTATTTCATMAATCATGGAACCACCAGGTGGTAGTGCCTTGGTGGATCCCTCATTTAGACAAACTCTTCATTTCACTGCCCATTACAAAGAAACACTCTTATATCCAATATGAGATTAAAATGAGGTAATTCAGTCTGCTTCCTGCTAATCTTTCAACATAAGAAAACTTCTMTGACAAGAAACAGCTACAATTCTAGAATTATTAGAATCTGTACTGTGTATTCCACTCCCCACCCCCTGGGGGGAAGCATTCTGCAGACTCTAGTAGATGCTAAAATTTTAAGACCAGAAGATAGAAACTATACAAGGTCACTGAAATCCCTTAGTTTCCAGAACTACATATTTCATCAGTAGAACAATCTGAAGACAACTGACTTAAAACATATATCTTCAAGCATACATTACCAACTTTGCAAAGGGTTATATTTAATTTTGTAACTTAGTTTTATTTTAAAGTAYTATTTCAGTGTTCTATCAGATTGACAGTTTTAAGTTGTAATATGTGATCTGATTGATGGTTTTCCTAATTGGTGTATTGTGCAATTGCCTTGTAATAAAGTGGGTACCCCGATCTAAGAAATATTATACAAGATTTCATAATGGAAATTAGATAGTTCATAAACTCTTGGGTAATGGCACTGGCCAAAGTTCTGAAAGACAASCCATTCTCAGAAAATATATTGATACTATAAGGACAAAATTATGAGGAAAATTCTGTCTCCTTCAGTATGAAAGTGAGTTCAATGTATGCAACTCAATGGTTGATTTCAGTCCTCAAAAGATGTAACYATTTTGAGGATCTATCATTTAGCTTACAGGTCAAACATTCTGCACTGCTGAAACCTAGCAAAATCCTATGTGAGATGAGGCCCACTCTATGGAACTCATACATAATTTTTCTTTCTACCATAACATAGTCTTCATTCATGGGCCCATTTTGCAAGTATAGCTTTGGCTGACGAGAGATTCACAGTGGTTTATTCTTAAATTAAYAAGTTAAATACTGTATACCTGGTATAATTATTTTTAATAATATATATTAATTGTATATATTAATGGGTACAGTGTGATATTTCAGTGATAAGAAAATAATTTTAAGTGTAATAATTTTTTTCACTAATACATAGCATATAATATGTACTGATCAATTCAAGGTAATTGATATTTCCCTGTTCTAATCTTTGTATCCTTGGTAGTTTGTGTCATCTCTTTTGGTTAGTCACAAAATRTATAATAAGTTATTATGAACTATCATAATCCCTCTGTGCTTCAGAACACCAGAATTTATTACATCTACCTAACTGTATTTTCATACCCATTACCCAACTTCCCTTTATTTCCTCATCCCCTCATGCTTCCTAACATCTAGCAATTCCTATTCTACATATAGACTGATTGTTTTTAGTTTATGCATATGAGAGAGAACATACAGTATTTATCTTTCTGTGTCTGGCTTATTTCAGTTAACATAATTCCCTATAGTTCTAGGACATTTACTGCAAATKACAAGATTTCAGTCTTATTTAGGACTGAATAATTTTTTTTGTCATGTATCACTTTTTTTTCCATTCTGTATCATAACAATTGTGAATACTACTGCAATCAACATGGGCATGCAATACCTTTTTGGTAAACTGATTTTATTTCCTTTGGATGTATATACCCAGAAGAAGTAAGATACCTACATATGGGGGGTCAAATTTTAGTTTGTAAGGCATCTTCATACTGTTATCCATAATAACCATACTAATTTACAGACCTCAAATCTTTAACAAAAATAAAAAACTGAAGGCTTCGTGATAGTTGATTTCAAGACAATCWATGGATCCATAGTAACCAAAACAGCTTGGTACTGGCAAAAAATCAGACAAATAGATTAAAGAGAATAGAGATCCCAGAAATAAGGCCATGAATCAATAGCCAACTTATTCTCAACAAAGGTATTTTGAAAACTTAAACTGAAGAAAGGACAAACTCTTAAATGAAGGGTGCTAGAAAAACTGGCTATCCACATGCACAAGATTGAAACTTGACCCTTCTCACTCACCCTGTACAAAAATCCATTCAAATGGATGAAAGAACTAAACATAAGGGCTCTGAAACCATTAGAGTAAAAGGCAGAAGAAACAYTTAATGACATTTATTTTGGTTATGAACCTCAAAGCACAGGAAACAATATCAAAAAGATAAATAACTAAAAACAGCAGAGTGAAGAGACAACTTACAAGAGGGAGAAATATTTGCAACTATTCAACTAGCAGAGCATTAATATGTGGAATACATGAGGAWTTTTTTAAAACTCAATGACAAAATAGATAATTAATTAAAATTTAAATTATTTTAAAAGTAGAGTTTAAATATATGAAACTATCATTAAAAGTTATAACAACTGATTTTTTAAYTACATAGAGTTGTTCAAAATAGATCTGAGATGGCAAAACAAAGGATCAGMTGGCATGAAGATGGATTAATATAATTATTCAATTTGAAMAACAGAAAAAAGTGAATAAAATGAACAGAATCTCAAAGACCTATATGATACCATCAAATACACCCCTATGTCTACAATGGGCATCCCAGACAAAGAGGAAAAAAATAATAAAGGTGATAAATATTATTTAAAGAATTAATGCCCCAAAACTTTCAAAATTGGATAAGAGATATAAATCTACAAATCCAAACTTTAAGAAGCTCAACAAATTCCAAAAAAGATTTATATAAATATTATTTTAGACCTTTWTCTCAAACTATGGATAGCAAAATGAATCAAATAACTAAATATAAGAGCTAAAAGTTGAAACCTTCCAAAGAAAACATAGGAGAAGCACTTCGTG